TTTTTTTTTTTTTCCTTTTCCTTCTCTCCCTCTCTTTCTCTCTCTCCCCTCCCCTCTGTCAGGTGACTTTTTAGCATTAGAAGCTAATGAGCGTGGATGCTCCGGGGATCCCAGTGATGGACCCTGCCGCACTCTCCCGGCGGAACACGGCGCTGAGATTAGTAGAGTTGGCGGGGGCTCCGCGCCGCCACCAGCAGCACCCCCTGCCGAGCAGGACGGGCTTCCCGGGCCTCGCCGCGCAGCCTCGCGCCACGGCCGCCCACCCGCGGCCACCCGCCGCCGAGGCCCGCGCGGGGCTGCAGTCGCTCCGGCCAGAACACATGGGGCACCATCCTCCTCCTCATCCTCCTCCTGAGCATCACCCCGCGGCCCTTAAGCTCAGCCCAGCCCCTCATCCCCATCACCAGCTCCACCACCACTACCACCACCACCACCATCATCATCATCATCATATGGCAGGCCCGGCCGAGGTGGCCTCTAGTCAAACAGGAGCGTTTGGCCCGGCGCAGTCAACAGCAGCCCCTTACCCCGTCTCTCACCCAGCCCAGGCTCTTGCCGCAGGTAGGGACTTTTTCGTGCGCAGAGACCTGCCGGCCCCAGTCATGCCAGGGCTGACCGAGCAGCTCCCCGCTGCACGTTCTCACCACGGACTGTTTGTCTCAACAACAGGTAGCTGCCCCGGACACCATGGTCACCACCACCACTCAGAAGCCGGGAATCCCTCTCTGTTTACTGGACTCCATGAGCAGCCTCCCCATGCAGCTCCAGGTGGTCATCTAAATGGACAGATAAGACTGGGGTTACCTGGAGAAATGTACGCCAGGTCTGAACATTTCACTCAAGTACCAGCCTCCAGGACAGATGCTTTTGCTGCTTCTTCGCTTCATAGCTACGGTGGCATGAACCTGAATGTGAACCTGGCTCCACACCACGGCCCGGGGGCCTTCTTCCGTTACATGAGGCAGCCCATCAAACAGGAACTCATCTGTAAGTGGATTGAGTTGGACCAGACTCCCAAAAAAATATGCTCGAAAACTTTCAGCACNCCCAGGCTCTTGCCGCAGGTAGGGACTTTTTCGTGCGCAGAGACCTGCCGGCCCCAGTCATGCCAGGGCTGACCGAGCAGCTCCCCGCTGCACGTTCTCACCACGGACTGTTTGTCTCAACAACAGGTAGCTGCCCCGGACACCATGGTCACCACCACCACTCAGAAGCCGGGAATCCCTCTCTGTTTACTGGACTCCATGAGCAGCCTCCCCATGCAGCTCCAGGTGGTCATCTAAATGGACAGATAAGACTGGGGTTACCTGGAGAAATGTACGCCAGGTCTGAACATTTCACTCAAGTACCAGCCTCCAGGACAGATGCTTTTGCTGCTTCTTCGCTTCATAGCTACGGTGGCATGAACCTGAATGTGAACCTGGCTCCACACCACGGCCCGGGGGCCTTCTTCCGTTACATGAGGCAGCCCATCAAACAGGAACTCATCTGTAAGTGGATTGAGTTGGACCAGACTCCCAAAAAAATATGCTCGAAAACTTTCAGCACTATGCACGAGCTGGTGACTCATGTCACGGTGGAGCACGTTGGAGGACCCGAGCAGTCCAATCACATATGTTTCTGGGAAGAGTGTCCGAGAGAAGGGAAACCTTTCAAGGCCAAATATAAACTTGTAAATCACATCAGAGTCCACACAGGTGAAAAGCCTTTCCCCTGCCCTTTCCCAGGCTGTGGCAAAGTGTTTGCCAGATCAGAGAATCTCAAAATACACAAAAGAACTCATACAGGTCAGTATGTAAAGCTCTTTACTCTCTCTCTGTATTATTCAGCATACTGTTTTGCTTTGTTTTCTTTTTTATGTATCCTTTGTGTTGTTTTTGCACGCCAAGTACTTCTGGAAAATAAATTCTCAGATTTGTTTGCTTCTTTGCCATTTGCGGGAAGGAGAAGAGATGAGAAAAGAGAAGGAAAGAAAAAAAAATGAGAGCGAGAACAAATCTTAGAATTGACGTCCATATTATTTTTCTGGTTTTGCGGGAAGGCTCTTGTAGTGTTTGTTCGGGTAGATCTGTATAATATGGAGAGATATAGCTGCTATTTCTGCTTAGAAAGATTTTTTTTTCTTTGCAATTTAAAGTAGTTGGGAAAAATTGAAATCATTGTGCAAGCTCACAAATTAAAAGTGAACAATAGAAGTTACAACTTGTCTAGTCAGTTTTGACTGATGTCGCTGAGATGCTGCTGTTCTAACGTTGTGAGAATAACACAGCTGCGACCTTTTCGTTCAACAGTTTTGTTTTGGTCAGAGGGAGTTTCAAATGTTTGATCTGAATAACAGTGACATTTTTAATGAGCATTGCCATCCAGCGACTCTGCTGCAATACGGGTAGTTGAGAGTTCGGTACTCGGGAGGAAAAAAAAAAAACCATAAATAAACGAAAAGAAAAGAAAAGAAAACCTGGTATTGTTTCGCCTGTACATTTTGAAATGTTATTTGCAGTACTCTTAAGCGAAACTGGGACATGTGTCAGAAACATCTGYTTATTTTAGTTAACAGAAAGGAGAGTAACTCGATGGACGATCTTGCAAAACTATATTTGAATTCTTCCTCCCAGGAAAGCATTTATAATTAATGAAATTGCACGTAGAAAGTTTTCACACTTCCAGGAGCAGCTTGTGAAGTTGTATTAATTAGTTTAGCAGCCGGTGTTTGTAGTCTGTAGCCCTGGCTTTTTTTTTTTTTTTTTTTTTTTTTTTTAAGAATAAGAAGATAAGAAATAAGCCCTTTTTGGAAAATTTAATCTGTTCCAGTGTAGGGTTTTCCACCTCCCACCCCCTCCTCTACAGCCTTATGCACTGCTAAGGAAACTACATAATCCTATTGTAAGATCTGCTTACAGCCCAGAGATTTTTTTTCACTCCCCAGTTCATAAAGCTCCCCTTCCCCCATGCTCGATATATGGCGTGACCTTAGAGGAGTTGCAGTTTTATGATATAACGCGACGTGATATAATATGCATGACATATATACTAAATGCGTACCGCTATCGTCTAAACATAGCACAGAGATTTTACAGTAACCATCACTCGTCACCTAATTATTTTTCCATTGCTCTGTGAGTAGTTCGTCTGCGCGTAGGGGGGATGCGATAGCGAAGTTGTGCATCTCTACCATGTCCTCGGCAGCTTTTTAGAAAAGAGGGGAGCATCTCAGGGTCACCCTAAGAGCCTCCGAGCCCGCTCCGCTCCGGCTCGGAACAGGTACAGCCATTAGGCGGGAGAGCTCATCCCTTAATGACAGTGTTTTTCTTAAGTAAACAAACTTTTACTGCTCTTTAACGGCCTCACTGTTTGAAGTCTCTGAAGCAGAAAATGGTTAAATTCTGAGTGTAACTGACCTACATCAGAGAGGCAGGTTCAGGGCAAAACTGCGATCGGAGGTTGGCGTTTATTAAGCAGAATTCCCATACTTTTCCCGTTAACTTGCGCGGTGATTAATTGCTGGATTGCGAAAACTCCTGCGGGGCCTTTATGGTTCCTCCGCTTCTATTAAACGCCCTGAAGTTGTCAAAAACGAGATGTTTCTGAAATCCTAATAGAACTCGCTGCGAATTATTCATGAGGTCGGCTCCAGATTCAACAGGAAAATTATTGCCTGCTCCAATATTAATGCGGCGGCGGGTTTCCGCTGGCGGGCGGCGCGGGGCTTCCGCGGAGCGCAGGGTCCGCGCTCGCGCGCTCCCGACAACAAAAGCGGCTGCGCGGAGCTACGCGCCCGCCCGCCCGGGCCCCCCACCCCCCGGCCCCCCAAGAGAAGTTTGTAAATACCTGAATGCACGCACGGTGACGGGGGATTAGGCCGCATTTTCCAAGATGAATTTCCCTGAACAGATTTTTTTTTTTTTTGCTTTTTCTTTTTGCCTTTTTTTTTTTTCCCCACAGCTACAAGTGTGGTTTTAAAATGGCGGTTGAACCGCTACGCTTCTCCATCGCCTGCTTGAACTTCGCGCGGGTCTAGAGCACCTCCGTGCTCAGGCTGCGGAGGGAAGGACCCGGAAAATGTCCTCTCCCGGGCGGATCGCCATTCCCTCGAGGGAAAACCTGCTCTCCAAGGGGATCCTTGCAGGCACCGCGGATGGCTCCTCTCTAGCGAGGCGTCCCGAGGATGCAGCCCGGGAACGCGCTGCCCTCTTCCCGGTGCAGATCTGACTCCTTCATGGGGTTAAGTGGAGTTAAACTTTTTTTTCTTTTTTTTTTTTTTTTTTTTCCCTGACTCTCCAGAAATGGGAAGGCGCCGCAGCCCGGGTTTACCTGACTGCAGCTCACTTTGCACAACCCGAGTGCTTATGAGGACGCCCTTCCCTGGGGTCTCCTAACTTCCCGCTCGCTTGTACTACACTAATATCCCTGATTTGTTGTCTCAACTTAGATGCTGTAGGTCAAATTGTTTCCTTACGTGAAACTGTAATTAGATTATATGCGTGCGTGTGTCTGTGCATACGCACTACTGTGACCAAGAATACTCGGTTGCAGAACCCTCATGGTTTTATGAGAGACCTTATTTTTAACCTCTCCCCACCTTCCCTCTAACGCCAGTGTTTACCAAACCTTGTGCAAATGGTAACAAAGATGTGAGGCACCTTTGGTGATTATTACAGTGGAAAGGACGGAGTTGAAACGCGGAGCCACGGGCTTTCTCCCACCCACCTTGCATAAAGTGCATTCATGTGAAATATTTGGGATGCCTTCCTTTATTTCGCTGGGCTCGCAGCCGAGCACAAGGTCTGCTGCTTCCCTCAGAAAACTGGTCGTGACGAACTGAGGGGAAMCCCCCCCCAACAACAACAATATCCCAAACCAAACTCCAAAGCTTTGGCAAACATTCGAAGATATTTCGGCCATATACGCCATGATGATGATAGCAGTTGCTTTGTTTGCACTTCGTGGTTAACGTTCAGCTGTGTTTTCGTGGTAACTTCTGCTGCTATTTTTTTCAGTTAAAAAAAAAAAAAAAAAAAAAAAAAAAAAACCTATTTTCCCACTTGGTTGCTGTGGGCCATCTCTGCACCCTCGCAGGGAGGTTTTTTTATTTACCTCTTAGCAGTGACAGTAATTCAGATAGGGTTTCGCCCCGCAATGTCTGAGGCATGTTCCCCTGAAACCTTCTCCTGTATATCGTCTGCCTTGCTCAGCGCACAGAATCCGAGGTTAAACTTTCACACGACTCTAGCAACACGATTATATTTCTATTATGCTTAACGTCACTTATCATATTACCAGACAAATTAATCCCGATTGCAATTCCTTCCATGACTGAGTAGGTTCAAATGATAAAAGACTCTTACCCTCCCGACACAACCAGGCCCAGGCCTAGTCTTCTTGTTGCTGAATGCCTGTGATTTTGCACCGCACAATCACTGCCTTTTTGAAAGGTTTTGTGCTTTAGTATGGAGTAAGTAAGAGAGGGAGGGTGGTGCAGACCTTCCACAAGATTGTAATCAAGGCAAGAATGGAGCAGATGAGATGTAATTTACCCGGGTTATTAATAATATTTCCACGTGCAGCTCGGGGCAATGTGAGAAGTGTATTTAACGCAGAAATATTCCCAGGGATAAATCACTGACCGCTGTTTCCGTGGGACCCGGAAGGCTGGGCAGAGTGCGCGCTTTGTTTACGCCGAGAAAACACTTGGCGTCCAAGTTTTCCTTATCTGAGGGCTTTGTCTCTTGCACAAAACCCGCTTTGGACACGCAGGGCCGAGCAGGGAAGGGAAGGGAAGGGAAGGGAAGGGAAGGGAAGGGAAGGGAAGG